ATAGGATTTTCTTTCTCTCTCTTTTTTTTTATGGCCTTATAATACTACTGGAGGCCTGAGGCATGAAGATTTGTGCAAGAACAGACCTTCTTTCCCCTGGCTGCCGGCACTGGTTTCCCTCTGGCACCCGGGACCCGGGCTGCTCTGCTCTGGCTGCTGCTGCCACCCATTGGGGTGTGATCTGAGCTGCACCACAGGTCGCTGGGAACACACCCCAATCCGCTGGGGCAGCTCACAGTCCCCTCCACCCATCTGCATGCACAGCTCTTCTTGAGAGGTCGTGATGCAGCCTCCTTGAGCCAGTCGTGACTAACTTAGCTAATTTGCATAATTTATACACACACACACACACACACACACACACACACACACACACACACACATATATATGCTGTCTGTATAGCGCTTACAGTTTTTAACCAGTTTCCTGGTTGTTGGGTTTCTTTGGTCCTCAGTTTCCCCACCTGTCCAGTGTGGGGGTGAGCTGGATGGTGTGCCTGGCGCCTCTCTCTCTCCCGCAGCCTCACCTTAGTTCTGTGAGTGAGTGTATTCCTCTTGCCCGCACCTGGGTTCTGCAGGCCAGCAGTGGCTGCCGTGGTGTGTGACCTAGCGGGGCAGGCTGCGGACCAGGGGAGGGAGCCCTGCCTTGTCCCGGTGGCACTTGATCCTGCGGTGACACAGCCATTGGGTCTCAGACGATGTCACTCCCCCTTTGATGCTTCATTGGAGCAAGAGGCAGCCTCAGACAGGCCAAGTGGCCCTGACTGGGGCGGATGCCCAGGGCGGAGCCTGCAGACAGTGGCCCTCCCAGGTCCCTGACAGCCTCAGCCCCAGGAGGCTCCCCTGTGACCTTGGCACCTACCGAGCTCAGAGCTCTGGCTCCCAGCCCTCTGCAGCCCCTTCTCATGTGCGGACGGCGTCTAACTCCATCTTCCTTCTTTTGAATCCATTAAAATTAGTCGGGATTCTGAAATTAAAAGTTCACATTCACTGCAGAAAAATGAGACAAACCCTGCAGACCCAGAGGAGGAGATCTGCAGTGCTCCTACCGCCCCGCTGCTCGCTTTCTTCACACTGTGGTGTCTCCCCCCGTGCGCTCCCCATTGGGAGGAGGTTGGAGGGAGGCGGCCTCCTTCCCCGGTCTCCCTCCAGGGGGTCCCTGGGCTGTGGCCCGCACTGTTCCCAGCAGCGCCCTGTGGGTGGCGGTGCCTGTCAGTGTGGCTGGGTGAGAGCCGCTAGGAGAAGTGGCCCAGGCAGGCCTTGGGGCTGACTACGGCAATTCTTTGTTTCCGGCTGGAAAGGCCCAGGCTGAGGCCTGCCAGGGGTGCCGGTTTCGGGCTGGCTCTCAGAATTCCCTTAAACATCGGCTTGTGGTTTGTGTTGGTGTCTGCTGCCTGCTGCATCGGCCCGTTGGTCAAACAGAGTCAGGAAGTGACCGCTGCCTCTCCTCCCTTGGCACCAGGGAAGGCCCACGTCCTGGTCCCCTGCTGAGCGCTGTGCGCCCCGGCAGTTCCCTGGGCACAGTCCTTACCCAGAGGACGGCTGGGCAGTGCCACCCCTGGGGCGGCTGGAGTGGTGATGAGAGTCAGAAGTGGGTCTGGTTCTGCCCGAACGGGCGTGGGGAAGAAGAGAAAGGGGCCCACAGGTGCATGCGGGAGGCGTGCCTAGCGGCACAGGAAGCCTGTTGGGGGAAGGGGGAGGGAGTGACCAGCGGCTGCTGTGCCGTGGCCCTGGCTGTGCTGTCCAGGCTGCCTCCTGAGGCCATCCCACAGGGGCTGGGGGCCAGGCGCCCTCCCTGCCACCGTCCCCGCTTCCACAAACACTTCCCCGGGACTGACCCGCTGCTGGGTGCTGGGGACAGAGCCACACTGACAGGCACACCCCGCAGGGCATGCAGGCGCTGCTGGGAACAGTGCCTGAGCCTCAGCCCAGCGCCCCCCCACCACCATGGGGAGCCTGCAGTTTTTGGGGGGTGTGGGGGGGACAGACAACAAACAGGCCTGCAGCGTTGGATTGGCTGTGCACTGCCCCCGAGGCCCGTCTGTGAAGCCGACGGCAAGGGCTCTGAAGCAGCATAACCAGGAGCCCGGAGCAGGCTCCATGCTGGGCGAAGCCCCAGGAACGTGAGGAGAGCCGCCAGGGTGGAGGCGGCCCCAGTCCCAGCCCCCACCCTCATTCCCAGGCTGCATCCCCAGACCCAGCCCCACCCCCAGTCCCACCCCAGTCCCAGCCCCACCCCCAGCCCCACCCCAGTCCCAGCCCCACCCCAGTCCCAGCCCCACCCCAGCCCCGCCCCCAGTCCCACCCCAGTCCCAGCCCCACCCCCAGCCCCACCCCAGTCCCAGCCCCACCCCCAGTCCCAGCCCCACCCCCAGTCCCAGTCCCAGCCCCACCCCCAGTCCCAGCCTGCACCCCCAGTCCCAGCCCCACCCCCGCCCCCACCCCCAATCCCAGCCCACACCCCCAGTCCCAGCCTGCACCCCCAGTCCCAGCCTGCACTCCCAGTCCCAGCCTGCACTCCCAGTCCCAGCCCGAACCCCAGTCCCAGCTCCCACCTTCATGCCCAGCCTGCATCCCCAGTCCCAGTCTCAGCTCGCATCCTCAGTCCCAGCCCGCACCCCCAGTCCCAGCCTGCATCCCCAGTCCCAGCCCCCAGTCCCAGCCCCCACTCTCAGTCCCAGCCCGCACCCCCAGTCCCAGTCCACACCCCCAGTCCCAGGCGCACCTGCAGGAGGCCCCTGGGGGGAGGGGACTGTGTCCTCTTTCATGAAGGGGACTCAGTGGTGAAGGGCAGGCCTCTGCCTGGTGTGAGATCAGCTCGGCCCCTTAGTGTTTAACTCAGTCTCCTCCTCTGCAAAAGGGACTCTGGCAGTCAGTCCTGGAGCTGTTGGGAGGTTGTGCCCGGGGCGGCGTTGGCCATGATCCCTACAGCGCTCAGGGCGGGCTCTGCTGTGCCTGCGTGTGGGCCTGCCCGGAGGCCTGCAGCACCGGAGAGGGCCAAGGAGGGCGGTGGTGCCCGGCACACGAGGGTTGGAAGGCCACACAGGGTTCACCAAGCATGGGTTTTGGTCCAAAACACTCCTTTTGCAAAGCTGCTGTCCCCAAGGTCGGTGAATACTCTCAGAAAGGGCAGAGGGCCGGTGGGGCAGCATGGAGGGACAGGCACTGAGTCCCAGTGTCCTCGGCACGGCCGCGGCGGCCCTCTCCTCTCCTGGTGAGGCCTGGCTCCGCAGCCCCTCCCCGCAGGCAGCGGCTGCTTCAGCTCCTGCAGGACCACAATGGGGGCCACCATTCGACCTACCCAAGGGGCTCTTAAGGTCCCTCAAATTATGTCATGTTGGCAGCTGAGTCTACCCATCCCTTCTGGGTGCAAGATCTGTGCACCTCGGCCTCCCCACCTGCCAGTGCTGGGCCCTGGCAGCCCATGGGCAGCCCTCAGGGAGGGGGAGGTACAGTACCACCGAGCACTGCTCAGCTCTCCCTTGGAACTCAGATGGCCAATAGGAACATGGCCAACCCCCTTCCCCCCAACACCTTCCTCTCTGTTTGTCCCCATCTTGGAAATGGCTCATTCATTCATTCATTCATTCAGGTGTCATCTGTGTCTCCTTTTCCCTTTCTCTTCTGGCAGTCTGTGAGCAGCCGCACAGGCTCTCACCGTTGGCAAAATTCTGGGTCACGCCCCTCCCGCCACCTCCCCGCCCGCTGGGACTGCAGGGCTGAGCAGCCTCCTGGCCCCCAGTGCAGAGTAGCTGGAGGCTCTACTCAGAGCATCCAGGCTTCCTCTCCCTGCAGCCTTGGTGGCCCCCGACCACCCATCTGCCACCCCCTCAGCTGCAGCCTCTGGTTTTAGGCACTCCGAGCGCCCAGAGACTTGTCCCCCGCCTGGCGGCTCCTGCTCTTCCCCCAGCTGTCAGGCTCTGCACACGCACACCTGTCTCCCCGACTCCCACACTCAGGTCTCTGCCAAGCACTGTGTCCCGTTCACGTAGCCACGGCCCTCGCCGCTCTGCCTCGGCATCAGAGACACGGCCTCTGCATGCCCCCCCACCAGAGGTGCTGATTAGTCCCCAGGCCGAGAGCGTGGGCAGTCCCTGAGTAAAGGCGAGGCCGAGGACGGCCAGTGGAGAGGGCCGCGCAGGGCCGGTGGGCGGGCTGGGCCGGGCAGTGGCTCTGAAACCCCATCCACACAGGGGCCTGTGCCAAGTGCTGGCCAAACCCGTCCCTTCAGAGGGTCTCAGCCTCAGACCACAGCGCCCGAGTGTCTCACACTCTCAGGACGTTCTTGGGCAGAAGAAATAGCCAAAGGTTCTGCTCAAAACTGGTTAGGCCTGAGTAACTCAGTATTTGTGTCCCAACAACTTAGTAGCCACTGGGTGGATAATTTTTATACATTAAAAGGAAAATAATATTCTCCTCTCATCGGTAAACAGCTACCCTGGCTTCCCAATGGGTGAGTCCAGCGGGCTCTGTGGCTTCTGTGACCTTGGAGGCCATGCCCCCTCTTATGTTCCACGTGGATTTTTGCATGGTGCTTGCAAAACAAAGGAGTCGGGTGCTCGGGGTAAGGCTCCTCTTTGGGGGGCCTGTATAGCATCCGGCAGAGGTGGCTGGGTTTCCCCGCCTCCCACCACTTAAAGACTAACCGCGGGCCCTGGAGTACTTAGGGTGCTTTGCACACAGTGTGGGGATGGTGGGGTTTTACTGTTAGGCCCTGTGATGGCCCTGTGAGGTAGGTATCCCTCCATTTCACAGAAGTGGACGTTCAGGCTCAGAGAAGCCCAGACCCGGCTCCGCACACAGGTGGCTGGGGAGGGCAGGTCTCTGATGCTCTGACGACCCCTTGGACGACCCGCTGGGTATTGAGTTGTGCCTGAGCATTTGTGACCTGGCCCTTCAGAGTCCAGAGCCGCAGTATGGATCAGCCCTTTGCTCCCACGCAGATCCTTGGAGACAGAACACAGACAGTGATGGCAGCCTCTTGTGCTTCCTCCCTCCAGGGGGCCCGCTGTGCTCTTGCTGTGTCCCGGACCCCATGGGGCTCTCCTTCCTCCCCCCCTACGGCTGCCAGAGCAACCGCACGGCCAGCGTGGCCGCCCTGCGCATGAAGGCTCGCGAGCACTCGGAGGCCGTCCTGCAGTCCGCCAACCTCCTGCCAGCCACCAGCAGCAGCCCGGGCCCTGCCGGCAAGCCAGCGCCCCCCACCAGCAGCCGGGACAAGACCCCTCCTGCCACGGAACAGAGTGAGGGTGAGAAGAGCGTATGAGGGAGTGCCAGCCAGCACCCTCCCCCATCCCTGCTCCTCCCGCCTCAGCCCGTGGAAAACAAGGAGAAGCCAGCGCCCAGAGCCTTCTCCTGAACTCTGGAAGGGATGAGAGCACCGCTCCCTTGCTGTCTGGGGAGTGCCCTGGCGTCCTGCCAGTGGCCTGTGTGGTCCTGGATGCTTTGGTGACAGGTCCTGATGGCACTGGTGGCACCGGAGCCGCCTCTGTGGTGGGACCTGTTGGTTTTTTTTTCTGTGCCCAGAAGGCTTGGGGGGAAGTAGAGTGCTGCCCCCATCACCTTCCTGTCCATTTCCTGGACGCCATTGATGGTCTGGTCACCTCCAAGAACTGTGACACGAGACGCCCAGGGCTAAGCCTCATGCTATGAGATGGGACTGTCGTTGGTCCATTAAGAGCCAGGAAACTGCTGGAATTCCAACCAACTCTTCCCTCTACCACGCCCAGCAGCCACGCCCCTGTGTCTTGTTGAAACCTATAGGTTGTGGGCTTGGATAGGCAGAAGGTGAGAAGATGGGGGCGGGGCAGAGGCTGATGGTGCGCAGCTCTCTTAGGGGGACACGGCGGTTCTCACTGGGCTCTTGTGGCCAGACAGGCTGCCAACCCGGGAGCTGGGGCCGCATCCTGACCCTGAGGGCGTGGCCGGTGTGGCCGCACGCTGCAGGCCCTGCCATCCGGCCTGGCCTCTCGGTCAGCGGACAGCAGCGCCTGGTCCAGCGAAGCTGCTCGCCCTGGGAGGGGAGAGCCCCGGGATGCCATGGACACAGGTCGCACCGGACTGACTACCTGACCGCAGGTCCCCGGCACACAGAGGGAGCTCTCGGGTGGTGGTTTGGTCCTTTCGCCTGAAGGAGACACAGGAGGAGCCAAGATGAGGGTGCCTAGTGCAGAATGGAGCGGGCGAGGGCTCCTTCCAAAGGGCCGGACGCAGCGATCTGTTGGCCCAGGGTGGCGTTTCCTCGCCTTCTCTGTGGGCAGTGGACTTGCGAGATCAAAGGGAAATGTGCAATAGCGCGGGGCCTGCTTTCCTGGCAGGCGTCTGTTCCTGGGGGACGCGGTCTTCCGTGGCTCACGGGGTGTTTCCATGCAAACCCTTCCACCGTCACGACGATGATTCTCCTTTCAGTTTCCGTAGTCAAAAGGCTCCACCTTCAGATCGCCCCGCCTGCTTCTTACCCTCCCCGCCAAGCCCCCAACAATATCCCTGAGTGTGTTGTGCCTCATCTCTGATTACTGCAAAGCGTTTGATAAAACACACGGTCTCCTCAGAAACACACACGCCCTTTTCCTGCTGTAGGTTGCTTGTTGAGTACCAAGACGAAACGGCTTGCCAAAGAGCGGCAACGGCGCTTCCGTTCCGCTGTAATTACGTATGTTGGGTTGAACGATGCAAGCTCCAGCCCTTATGTACACTAACTCTTCAATCTAATTGTTTGATTAAACTCGTATTTCCTCCAGAAAGGTACATAAATAAGTGAACTGTTGAGCAAATTAAGAATACTTAACAGCATTGCATCTGAAAAGTAGTTACGCTGATTAAATTTTGTGTCCTTGAGGACTTTCAGGAAATTACTTTTGATCGTCAATAACACAATTAAGTAAACTACACACACATTAGCATGAATAATTGATAAGAAATTATGTATTACCACGAAGTACTGATTTAATAATTCATGATGCGACACTCTAGTGACTGTGCAAAACTGGAAAACACCGAGAAGCCTGCCTGCCGGTCCTGAGGAAGGAAGATGGCAGCCCTCTGCAGAGAAGCCGGGACTTGGTCTTGTACACAGGCAGAAAGGACCCCTGCATGCCGCTGTCTCTGTTTGTTTAAATAGCGAATAAATGTAGAGGAGTTGCAAAGAAAGACCTTTGGAGCTCAGGTCCCCTCTGTTCTGGGCTGGAGGTTGCGTGGGGCGCCCCCCTCCGCTGGGGCCGGGCAAATGGAAATCTCTTGGAGCTTCCAGGCTGAGGGCTGGAGGCCGGGGCTCAGGAACCCTTCAGCAGATGCTGGGACAAGACAGGATGCTGGGCAGGCCAGAGCCCCTGGAGCCAGTGCCTGCAGGAAGCTGCCAGCCTGTCCTGGGCGTGAGGGTGGCCGTCGACGGAGCCCTGTGGCTGCCCGTGTGCAGGAGTTGGTAATGTGACTGTGACAGGCAGCTGGGCTGCAGGCTGGGCGGGGCCTGTAAGCCCAGATTGATTCATTGGCGATTGTGATTCATCCACTAGTTGGAGCCTCAGAAGAGCCTTCCTTAATGCACACACCAGGTGGGGAGGCCCGCCTCAGAGGCGCCCTCCACTCCTCAGTCAGTGCTTTATTAGGAATACCCGCTGCCTCCTCTCAGTGGGTAGGAGGCTCTCCCTTCATAAACAATCCCATTTATAAGACGCTGCCACTACCTCATTGCCTGGGAATCACAGAGGGTAGCTTCCCAGTCCTACAGGTGAGCACTACTGCCCAGTTCACAGGTGGAAAACCGATGCAGAGTGAGGTTGGACGACTCCTCCAGAGTTCCCTGGCAGGAGCTCTGATGGGAAGAGCGAGAGCTGGGCTTCATGACAGGGCACACAGGGAGTGCTAATAAATGACTTAGGTGAACTGGGCTCAGTCTTCAAGGCCCAAGAGGGGAGTGGAGGCACGACCAGGAGCAGCCACCAGCCCTCCCTGGATGTCGTTCTCCCTCATGTAAAACGGCACAGCAATGGCACCAGCCTCACACATGTCTTCGGAGATCCCGGGAGTCCATTGCTGGCTGCGGCCAGCCCAGAGGAAGGGCAGTGGTTCTTGCTCCACTGCGCCTCCGGGCACAAGGATGTTCACCTCTGGCCCCATCGGGCGTGGCTGCCCTGGCCCCGCCCTGGGGAGGGGACACGTTCTCCGACTTGGGCCTGTGACTGGCAGTCACTTGGAGTGTGCCCAGCCTGGGAGGCCACGCTGGAGGCAGACAAGGGCGCTGATGGGGAGAAACCAGCTCCTGCTGAGGCAGTGAATCAGAGGCTGACATGGATGGCCAGAGACAGGCTGGAGGGACAGCAGGACTTGTCTTTAGAAATGTAACACGGCTCCATTTCTGGGCAGAGAGCCCAGCATGTGGCGGTTCTACCCCCTATGTGGTCAGCACCTTGCTGTGTTCAAACGCATGGGGTGTGTTCCGCCTCACGCCCACGAAGCTCCTGGGCCCTGGGCTGGGGAATACCCAGGGGTCCCTGAGCTGTCCTCCGTGGCCTGCCCATGTCTAGACCACGCCCCAGGGACAACAACACTCGATTCTGGAGCCCAGGGCTGCAGCACCACAGACTGCCCAGGGGGAACAGGGGGAGGGAGAGGCACAGTGCTGGGCTGGCAGGTGTAGGGTCTGTAGTGTCATGTCCGGGGCAGCCTCAGCCTCCTTTTTTCCAGCCGGTGCTTCCTGTCCTGCGGCAGAGGCAGGGCGGCGAGTGTGTATAAACCAGGACCTGCCTATAACCCCCCCAAGAAGGGCATTTTATAGGAGCGATTGCCCCTGCCTGGATGTGGGCTTTCCAGCGACGTCTTTCTGTGCCTGGCGCCCTGGAGCACCACGGCCTTTTCTCTGCGTTCTGCTGGGTGGGTCTGAGGAGGCCTGGCCTTCTCTCGCTGCTGCCGCCTGCCACCTGCTCTCAGGGCTCTGAGCCGGAGGGTGGCCTGTCGGGCTTGTCTGCTTCTTTCCCAAGCCCGGCTATGAGGATGGGCCATTGCTCCCGAGGGCTCTTCTTTGGGACTTGGGCACTGCCCCCTCCCACTTCCCCTAGCTCCCCAACTCTGCTGGGTGTGTCCCGGCACCAGGGCCGGGCGGGGAAGGAGCCCGTTGTCAGACAGAGCTGGGCTGGGCTGCAGAGCTCTGGCCTGGAGCAGCCAGGTGCCCAGCTGTCACAGCCGCCTCCATCCTGAGATGCTGGTGGGGACAGGTTTGCCAGCTGCCAAATGCTGTGAAGTCTGCCGGGGGCCCTTGGCTGGGAGGGCACACCTCTAGCTTGAGCAAAGGGTCCAGAGAATGAGGGAGGTGTTGGATACAGCAACCTGAGCTGGGGCCTGCCAGGTCAAGGGCTATCTCGGCTCTGCCAATGGGCCAGGTGCCCCTGGGAGCGAGGACTCACACCTTTGCTCAACAGAGACGTGCAGCCCTTGGCCCGCCCTGGCCCCGGAGCCCTGCTTTGAGGCTGTGTGAGTTTCCCACGCACCCTAACCTCTCACCAGGACTCCGCAGTGTGGGTGGGCAGCGCTCCACAGTCTGGGACTCGGAGGCCCGAGGTCAGCCCCTCGTTTGACACTATTAGCCATGGGGTCTCGGGCCAGCTCCGCAGCCTCTCTGGCCCTCATTTCTTTATCCCTACAGCGGAAGCAATAATCCTCATTTGCCTCCACAGGGGTGCGGGGAGGATCAAGGGAGATGATGCATGTGAAGGCAGTTTGTGAACAGCTCTCAGGAGAGCAAGGTCATTGGCAGCCTGAGACCCTGCATCTGAGGAGCTGCCTCCTGCTGCAGCAGCTGGGCTGGCAGAACCAGCCTGGGGCAGAGGGGAGGCGTGGCCAGGAAGTGAATCTGCGGACCCTCCCCAGGGCTTTCCAGGCCTTGAGGCCCTCCCCCTCCCAAGGTCGGGATGGGGCAGCTGGAGGGGCTAAGTGATTGTGTAATGGCCACATCTGTCAGCGCTGGCCAAATGGTTTTTCCAGGAGTCAGCAAGCTAATGGCCCCGCAGCCGGAGAGAGCTGTAAGTGGAGCACTTTATCTACCAGGAACATAAGAGCGGCCTGGCCCCCGGCGCAGGGGCTGGAGCAGCTGCTCTGCCCACAGCGTGAATTAGTGCCCTGGGCCCACTGGCCTCCCACCTGCTGCCAGAGACCAGTCTGCAGGTGGCAGCCCTGGTGGCCGGTACGGGGTACGGGAGCCTGGCTGGGGGCGTCACCAGATCTGGCCTTGGGACCTTGGCAAGTTTGTTGTCTCTCCAAGCCTCAGTTTCCTCA